AACACAGAACCTTCCCTAGGAAGGAAAGCTCATCATCTGCTTAGCTCCTGCTTAGCTCTGGGACTCCTGTTCAGCAGCAGGAGCACCTGAGCATGCTGGTCTCACCGGGCAGCCTGACGGTGACCTCCTCATGGGCAGACGGCCGGGGTGCTCATCACCTTAGTCCTGCCCTGGAGCATCAGGCTCCAACAGACCCTGGAAGGATTTATCCCAGTGGGTGTTTGCTAATAGCAGGGGGTGCGTGGAGGGCCCAACAGACATCCCCAGGGATAAAGCCGGCGCTGACTGCTGTGCTCTGCCCTACCTGCAGCACAGAACACAGCAACAGGTTGTGGAGGTCCCCTTGACCCCCCCCGGCCCCTTGCCTGGTCTTCCTTGAGCAATAGCAGCAGATTAGCCCGGAGCCCCTCTGCGCAGACAAAAGCTGCCACAAAGGGCATTAGGAATCAGGATTGGATTACTGTTTGGCCACCTGTCATCCCCACGTTGTAAATGTACCTCGCTCTGGGTCCAGTTTTCACACTGGAGAAGTTTGCACTTAAAGTAATGGTTGATTCCCCCCCTTCCAGTGCCTCCCCAAGCAGCAGCGTGATGGAGTTCGGTTTAGCATCCCTTCTCATTCCAGGCTTCAGAGCTGCGTGGGGCTGGAGATTAGGGCTGTTTGAATAGGGAGAGCCTTTATTACATTAGTCTAAGTGGTTAATAGGTAAAGTAGGCCAATCCATCTTTAGACTAAGCCTATCGTTTCGCCTACAAAGGGTGCAGGCTTCTTGGAGGAAATATTCATTAAAGGAAAAGCTTTTGCTCTGTCCCTCTTGACATGTTAATAGCTCGGGGTTAGGGGCTCTGCTCTCTGCCTGTGGAAGATTCATAGCTGTGCTCACGCAGCAACTCCCTCCTCTTGCTGGGACCCCTGACAGTGCTGCAGTGCTGAGCCCCACCACTGCTTAGGCTTGGAGGGGAATAAACACTGCCAGGAGCCTGCATCTCCTCATTCTCTTCTTCCATGCTCAGAATGCAGGTGCCACATCCCTTCCCAAGCAGGGATGTAAGCAGAGGGTTCAGATGATGGGCAGAGGCAGTACTTCAGTGCTGGGAGTCTCTGCTGTGGGACATTCTCAAGGCCAAAAGTATTCACAGGTTTGAAAGGATCAGACGGTTCGTAGTCACTATGAAATGGGATGATTTGGATGCAGATGCTGGCTCCTGAGGTCTTTGAACTCCTGGTTGCCAGAAGGCAGGAGGATAACAAGGCAGCAGGGACTGCTTGCCAAGCTTTTCATACTATCTGTATTTGGCACTCCAGTGTCCGCTACACCCCTCGGTAGTGTCTCCATCCAGCCCTGTCCCGACGGGTGCAGCTGCTTTTGTCCCAGGGCTCACCTGAGCTCCCTGTTTCCCACAGCCTGACTCCCTTTATTGTCTCCCTTCCCTCTCCCATACGGACCACAGCGGGAGCTGCACCTCTGCTGTTCTCATCTGGCATCAAACAGTGCTGCAGAACCTGCCCAGGTCCCTAACGTGCCTGTGAAGCCTCAACGGGACACAGAGGGCTCCACAAGCACCAGGAGCTGCCCCAGGGCTAAACTGTGCTGAACCCTGCTCCTGTTGCCTAAGGGGGTTGCATCCTGTGGCTGCAGCTCTTCTGACCATTACGGCTCCTCTTTCCCCTCCCTTTATAATGGCTGTGATTTAGCACAGCCCTTGCTGTCTTGGAGCCCCAGGTGCGTTCAGGGCTGGAATCTGGTCCTACTTCCTCAACGTGTATGGTTGGTGTGTTGGGTTGGAGCTGCGGTGCCGTACGTGGGCCAAGTTGCCTTCTCCAGTTGTGGTTTGAAGGGGAATAAGCAGTTCTTGGTGACTTTTCCACTGATGTGAGTTCAGAGCAGGCAACCTACCAGTTCCTCCTGTCCCTGGGGCTCTGTTGTCCCTGGCTGCCAGCATGATGGATGGGGCCTCTGTGGGAAATGATGGAAACCATGGGAAATCTCCTCACAACTGACAGGCCCATGCAATAAAGCTTTGCTTTCCTGGATGTGATGGTGTCAGAGGTTCAAACCACATCCGTGGGCCACAATATGTGGCTTTGCTTGCTTCTGTCCAGCTTTTACACAGCCACTTTTCAAACAAGGGACTGTCTGAGATGAGCCTGAAGGTCTTGGTTTTCGGCTTTGCCCAGCATTTGTCTGGGTACACCAAAGGGAATGCTGGAGCTAAGGCCTGAAGACTGGGTTTGGTGTGTTTGGCTCTCATTCCGGGGTTGAAGGCTTCATTTCTGTCTCTGCTCATCTCAGCCTGTGCTGACCAACCAGCAGGCAGTAGTAGTGTCAGTGAGCCTTGTCTGCTTTTCTTGCTGTGATGGGTCACCAGCAAGATGTCCTGCAAACAGCAAGGATTTGGGTCCTCTCCAAAAATAACAATAATGGGGGGGGGGCTAGACCTGCACAGAACTGGGTGCTCGCAGCTCTTTTGGATGTCCTCAGCTGCAAATGAAGTGTGGGTTCAGAAGCTGACTGGTCTGCAAAGGGACTGACATCAGGCCAGTGGATGCTTAAGAGTTGCTCCTTGCTTCTTCCACTTACACAGTGTGCTGTGCAACCAGGAGCCTGTGTTTCCCAACCCAATCAACTGACCTGGTACCTCCACCTCCTGCCTTCTCCTCCTGTTTCACGGTCCAGCCCTACCCAATGCCTCTTGTGCAAGGAGGGAAAAATGAGCCTTGTGTCATTCCCAGGAGACTGATAAATACTGACTGTAGCAGTCCTGGAGGAGAAGTTGGTCTCAAGGTGCAGGGCCCTGTACACGAGCAATCTGATGGACCTGACCTGAAGCCAAAGGGCTTCAGTGCAACAGGGCCATCCTGAGCAGGTCTTGGGAAGCAGCCTTTCCTTTAGGCAGGTCCCAGGCCATTAAGGACTTTGTGGGTTGAAACCAGCCTCTTAAATCAAGCTGGAAAGCAGTCAGTGGCCAGCGCAGGACGTAGAACTTGGGTTTAATATGGCCATAAAAAGAGACACCACTTAATGAGTAGGCTGTTGAAATCCACATCAGCCCACGGTAGATTTAAGAGTTGCTCTGTGAGTGTTGTTGACTGGCTCTGTTCTGTGACAGCGTTATGGGTTTGCAGAGCTGGCCAAAAAGGCAGAGGATTAGAGCTTTCTTTGGGTTCCTGGTCTTTGGCACGCGCTGCCTCCTGACTTCCAGAAGCTCTTGTGTCTGGTAGGGTCAGCGTGATTCTTCTACCTGCATGTGTAACTCCATTTGCATGGCCTTGAAATCACGGCCTGAAGTGTTGCCATCAGCCATGGGCTTGGCCGGAGGTTTCCACAAGCCCCTTCCTCTACAGTCCAGCTTGTCCATCGCCACCTCTCCCATTGACCCCTGTAGATCTGGTATGGACATCATCTCCCATTGTGGGCTCTATGGAAAAGGAGCTTCATGGGCATCCCCCAAGCACACTTCACCTGCAGTTTGGAGGTGCAGATGGGGGGTGCCGCTTGCTAGTAAACACGTTGCATGAAATTAATGCAACGCCAATGAAGTAGACTAGTGGGTATGATGTGAGCTAAATAGTAGTTGCATAAAGAGCTAGTGACCAGCTTTCATAGGCATGTGATGATGATTTTTGATTTCAGTCAGACCTCTCATTCCTGGTTTTCCTATTATTTGGCCTGAGAACTTTTAATTGGGGCAACCATTGGCTTTAGCACAAATTACCAGTGGCTTTTTTAATTGCAGGAGCCTATGGTAATCTTTGCTTTAGAAGCATAACAGCGGTCAGGGAGGAGATGGCCATCAGGGAACAAGCAAGCCTCTGTGTGCAGTGTTGTGGGTCTGAAGGAAAGGCTGTTTGAGGCTTGCAGGTCACACACTGCCTGGTTATTTCTCTGTGCTTTGAAAACTTAATCAAGTTTTATAGCTTTAATTTTGTGGCTGGCTCCCCTCTTGCCTCTTTTCTTTTTAAGTGTCTCGCAACCCAGAGCAAATGAGTCCCATTGGGTTATAAAGGGAAAGAACTGGCAAATGGTCTAAAATATTTAGGCTTGCCTAGTGAATGATAGGAAAAAATTACTTTTCCTGCTTTGTGCCACTTGCATCGTTACTACAAGCTCTCTAGTGTTTTCCCCATGCGGCTGGTTAGAAATAGGCAGGGAATAGGGTGGAATTGCTGAAGGCTTTAGGCTTCAGGGGTGTTTAGTGAGTGTACGTCCTGCCCATGAGCTGAGGTTGTGTTCTCCATGGATGTGTCCTGTGTTCTGACATGCTGTAGCCTGTGTGGCAGTGGAGGGGAGAGCTTGTCCTTACTGGGTGCTGGATTGGGATGTGCTGAAGATGCCACCATCAGCTCTTGATGCTCCTTATAAGCGCTTATGAGGGAGCCAGTCCGCACAGCGATAGGGAATAGTAAAGCAATGGGTGAAGCTGGGTGGGAGAGGACCCCTGTGGTTGGGTGAGGTCCTGCTGTTGACGAGCCAGGGACAAACTGCACCCTGCTGCCTGCACTGGGGGAAGTGTTTTGCTTGGGATGCTAAGGGAAAGCAAAGTGGACGTGGTCCAGTGAGCTCCTGCTTTTCCACTGGACCGTTCTTCTCATTCCTATAGGGAAAACAAGCTCTGGGTTGAGGCTGGGGGCTCTCTGGTGTTGAACTGAGCCATGAAAGCCATCTGGTGCAGCTCAGGACTCATCCTAACCAGTCTGCTGCTGGTGAGGTACATGTAGCCATGCTCCAGGTGCAGAGTGTAGCCCGGCTAATCCACTCATGGATAACTGGGAGATTACTCAGCTGGATTTCTAATGCAGTGGCCTTTTATAATAATCCCCCCCTAATCCCTGAATCAATGGAAAATGGATTTATCTGTATGAGCTAAATGGCCTGTGAAGGCATTTTAGCAAGAAGAAATCTTGTGTATCTATGTGTGAGCAGATAGATATATATGTATGCACATCTCTGTTGCTGTTAGGTGCTGTTCTGACCCATGCCTGTGTGTTTTGCCGGCAGGGACCTCATGCCCAGGACGCTGGAGGGGCAGATCACCATGGAGAAGACCCCCAGCTACTTTGTCACCAAGGAGGCCCCAGCGCGCATCTCCTCCATGTCCAAGGGCACGAAGCTCATCGTGGTGGTGCGGGACCCCGTGACCAGAGCCATCTCGGACTACACGCAGACGCTCTCCAAGAAGCCCGACATCCCCACCTTTGAGAGCCTGACCTTCAAAAACAGGACTACGGGCCTGATCGACACCTCGTGGAGCGCCATCCAGATTGGCATCTACGCCAAGCACCTGGAGAACTGGCTCCTCTACTTCCCCATCGGGCAGATCCTCTTTGTGAGCGGGGAGAGGCTCATCAGCGACCCTGCGGGGGAGCTAGGCCGGGTCCAGGACTTTCTGGGCCTCAAGAGGATCATCACCGACAAACACTTCTACTTCAACAAAACCAAGGGCTTCCCGTGCCTGAAGAAGGCGGAAGGCAGCAGCAAACCCCACTGCCTGGGCAAGACAAAAGGCAGGACCCACCCCGACATAGACCAGGAGGTGGTGCAGAGATTGCGGGACTTCTACCGGCCCTTCAACATGAAGTTCTACCAGATGACGGGGCAGGACTTCGGCTGGGACTGAGCCTGGCGTGGGAAAAATCCCCTGTAATGACTTGCCCAGCACGGTTTGCGTATATAAAGAGATATATATGTATGTAAAATGTACAGAAATCTATTTTATAATAATTTATTTTTAATTCCTAAGCAATTAATTCACTAAGCTGCCTAACCGCACTGGCTAGAACGGTAGCCCGTAACCTGTTTAACATTCCACGGTGTTTAATTCTAATTTGTCTCTCCTGATTTTCTCTTCCCCCTCTTCTGTTTTCTCCTCTTTCTCGGTTTGTAACAGACGGTGCTTCCATTTTTCCTAAAGAAAGTTTGTATTTAAGAGCATCAACAAGAGCGAGGGTGGGACAAGGGAGGGACAGGGAGGGAAAGCACAAGGTTATTTTTGTTACGGGTACCTGGCCTTTATAAACACTTGCTTTCCCTATTCCAGTGTCCCAGTCTCTGCTCCGGTGTTGTGCTCCCTCGGCCCACAGCTTCCTGGTTAGTCCCACAGCCCCAGGGGGGTTTCTCTGGGATTGGGCATCTCCCTGCAACCCACATACCTCTGCTGAGCACCAGCAGCGTGTTTTACCAGTGGCTGTGCAGCACAGGGAATCCCAAGCCATACAGCTCCTGCTCCGCAGCCTAAGGCTCTGCTGGGAGGGTAAAGAGCCCTGGGGAAGCCACAGAGCCTGTGGCATGGGCAGAGCTGTCTCCTCTGTACACTTTCCCTCCTTGCCTTTAGTCAGGGAGGCTCTTTCCCACGATCCCTCTATGCATTTTGAGTCGTTACTGCATGACAAGTGGAAGAATGCAGGTATGTGCATGGGACACGCTCGCTGCTGCTCTCAGTGACCTGAAGATGTGTCGCTCCGGGCATGCCTGTGCCCATGGGGTGCTGCTGGGAGATGGCTTCCACCCACCAAAGACACCATCAGCACCATGAAGCCATGGGAAATCCCCAGCACAGGGGGTGTCCCAGGACACGGTGCAGGCAGCACTGCCTCCAGCCCTGCAGCCACCGGAGCAGCTCCTGCTGGTTGAGCATGGGGAGCATCAGTCCCTCTTGACTCCCATTATTCTTCGGTTCAACACCCTACCCATGGTCTCTCCCAAGGAGCAGTTTGCCTAGAGCCAGGAAGAAGTGCTGCATGCCAACAAGGATGGATCTAGAAGAGCAGGGGGGGATCTGGGCTGTGCTTGAGGTCTTGCTGGCACCTGATGCCCCAGGTGAGGGCAGAGGTGGCAGGACAGGATGCTCCAAGCACTTGTTCATCAACCCAGGTACAATGACTTGGAAATCCTTCCCCTCAGACGGACCCAAATGCTTTGGGACATCAGGACAGGTTGGTGGGGCTGTCCTGAGAGCATTAGCCATGTTTTGTGTGCTCAGGTTTCAATAAGCACTGTGTGCATCCACTGCCTTATCCTTGCTGTCACAGGTTCTGCTGGCTGGACTGGAGCATTTTCAGAGCAAGGTGGCAGCAGAAGGGATTTTCTCCTTGAATTCTGAGCAGAAGCAGGGGGCTCTGTTGACTTTGGGCAACAAAACCCTGCACACCTCCCCTGCAGCCCTGCACTGATGTACTGCACCGAGCATGGAGCTCACCGGGTGGGAGTGCTTGCATAAAGCAGGCAGTGTGAGTAAAGCTCAAAACAGTGAATGCACCAACAGGCACAGCATCAGCTGAGTTAATGCTTTGGTTTCATGCACATTGCCTGTATAAATGTGTGACCTGCAGCTCTCCCCAGTCCCCCATAGCCATCCACCATCCACTGCATCACTGAGCCATGCCCAGCTGTGGTGGGGTGCATTCAGTGTCATCTTCCAGATGTTTTCTTTACTTTCACAGCCTCCTTTCTCTTGCCTGCCCCTTGCAGCTCCCTGCTGTGACTGCTGGATGATGAAAACACTCTTTGGAGCTCGGGCTGCTCTCCCTGGCCCTTGATCTATCTGGTCCTGCTTGGACAGGTACATCAAAGAGCAGACCCACCTCTGGGTTCACTCTGGGGGTCTGCAGGTAAAATGCTGCCTTTCAGTGCTTTGTTTAGACCTAAGGGCTCTTGGCTTGGCTCAGTGGTATCACATCTCCAAAGGGATTTAGGGAGCCTGACCCCTGTCAGTGCCGGTGAGGTGTGTGGGTTCATACATGGGGTGCCATGCACTGGGGTGTCCTCAAGGACAGGGAGATGCCAAGCATAACGTCAGGATTGAGGTGCCAAGCAAACCCCATGTGAGCAGGATGCAGATCCCTCCTTGGAGTTTGCCTCCAAGCATTTCCTCCTGCAAACAAGCAAAGTTGGGCAAATTCTCTCCTTTTTGCCCTCAGCCGTTCCCAGTAAAGAAGCGATGCTTTGGACCTGCTTCCAGAGGCCATGGGTGTGAGTGTGGGACCCACTGGGCTGCAGGTTGACAGCCCACACACGCAACCCCATCCTGCATAACACATCTTCAAACCTCAACTGGTGGTTGGATCTATCTATGCATGTCTGGGGGCTTGGGTTTTATCTCCATCCAGGTCCCCAGCTCTGTTCCCTGCTGCCAGGCACAGGAGCATGTCTGCTTTACCACCAGCCCTGCTGCTGTTGGGTGACGGAGGGGAAGGGGCTGCACAGGGAGAAGAAAACCCTTCCTGGTGACAAACAGTGATTTTTGCTTCTCATAACCTCAGTCTTCCTACGAACTGGCTTGTGCAATGTGTGGAAAGAAGCTCATCCTCTCCCCTTTGCCTTTGGGTAAGCTCCCAGCACAGCTCCATCACTTCCCCAAGCAGTTTCACTGGCTGCATGGTGGAAGCCTCCAGGATTTTCTGTATTGGCATGGCTTCCTTCCCATAGGGCTCCCAATGGAGCGCATGTGCGTGCCTGCCTCTGGATGCTGGAGCATCTCACATCCCCTCTGTCTTCCTTGTTGCTTTCTTGGAAACAACTTTAATATCCCAATGCCTTCCTCAGCTGTACAGCAGCGTGTGGGCTTCATTTGTGTAACCAAGCCCTGCTGCAGAACACTCTCATGAAGCAATCTTGTTGGAGAGCAGGAATACAGCAAGCGCATAATAACTCTTCTAACCTTAAGCAAGTTGTTAGCCCTTGCTCAATATCCTTCGTAATGAAGTCTGCACTAGACTTGTAATGTAAAAAGCCTTACCTAACAAGACAACGAAGGTGAATTCCCCGTGGTGTACATCTGGTTGCTAATACTGGAATCAGTGCTAGTGTAAAAAATACCTTTTCACTTTAAGTCAAGCTCAGAGGTGTGATTAGAAGTTCTTTTTATTTGTTTTTTTTTCCACATTGTAACATTAATTTATGGCTGAGTTTCATTCAGTCCTGTATTCAGACGTGCAGTACAGGTATTAGTGATGTGTTGTCTGTAACATGGAACTAGAGAGTAGCCAATTTGTAAGAAAAAGGACAAAATGGAAAGAAAAAAAAAAACAAAAAAAGACCAGAAAAAAAGCTGGAAAAAAATGTAAATTGAGTATTTTGTGGTATGTACAACACAAATTAATTTTACACAGAGAAAGATGTTTCTAGGGAAATGAAATTCTGATAATTCATACTATTTGTATGAACAAATAAAAGCTCTATTTTACGAAGCCATGGGCACGGTTGTATTCATTCAAGGCTGCAGAGATGCATTCAATCACATACGTGAGCCTCATTCCAGCACAGGGCTGGGAGCTGGAGGCTTCACTGGGTGGTGAATGCATGCATGTTCTGCTCAGTTGGGTTCTGTGGGAGCTGACCTGTTCCCTTGAATGCACCTTCATCAAACATCATTGAATGAGACCTGAGGGATTGCCCTCAGCCCTGCTGCGAAACCTGGATGGTGTTGGTGATTGGTGAGACCATCCTCTGGCGTCAGGGCTGCTGGAGGACACATTTAGTCCTTTATGTGGTGCGGAAGGTTCCTACTACTTCAGTGCTAAGTTTCTTTGCAAGAGCATTGCACTGATGGTAGTGGTGCTTCAGAAGGCTGGAGCAGCTCTGCTCTGGAGCCAGGCTGGGTCAGCTTGGAGAAGAGAAGGCTCCTGAAGGGGAGACCTTAGAGCAGCTCCAGTGCCTAAAGGGGCTGCAGGAAACCTGGAGAGGGGCTTGGGACAAGGGCCTGTAGGGACAGGCCAAGGGGAATGGCTGGAACCTGCCCGAGGGGAGACTGAGATGGGCTCTTAGGCAGAGGCTCTTCCCTGTGAGGTTGCTGAGGCGTTGGCACAGGGTGCCCAGAGAAGCTGTGGCTGCCCCATCCCTGGGAGTGCTCAAGGCCAGGTTGGACACAGGGGCTTGGAGCAAGCTGCTCCAGTGGAAGGTGTCCCTGCCCGTGGGAACTGGGTGAGCTTTAAGGTCCCTTCCAACCCAAATCATTCCATGATTCTATGCTGGTCCAAAACTCTGGGGCCAGCAGTTGCTTTTGCTCCCTACACACTCAGCACTTTAAGACAGAAAAGTTCATTATCATTAAGTTCTCTGAAGTCCCAGGCCGGTGCTACCCAAAGCAGCACCTAAAGAACATCACAGATTTATGTAACGTAGCAATTGCCACTTAACTAAACTGAATTAAAACCATTTCATTTTTCTTAGCAAGTCCTGCATCCGGTGCAGGTAATTGATGGGAGTATTTCAGATTGCCCATTTCTCAGAGGCATTCTAGCAGAGGAATCAGATTGAAGCACAAGATTTAATACAGCGATTTAAGAAGAGTTCAACCTGGAAACCTCTGGTTCATCAGCTTTATAATTAGCTGCTCCCTCACTCTGGCAATGCTTAAACTCTGCAGGTGTCTCATTTTTAATATATATACACACATAGATTTTACTTTAAGATTCCTTTTGAGCAGCACAGCTGATGTGCTGCAAGCTGACCTCAGCTTGATGGAGTCAAGCAACTTGTTAGCTCCTTCTCACCTCACCTGGGTTGCATTCCCAATCAGGGGCTCTTCTGCTCAGGCCTCAGTAGATGCCAATCCACAACCGTTCTCATTCTGAGCTCCACCTGGTCTTGCAGCAGCTCCTATAGAGCTCACCCTTGTATTTCCTATAGAAGAGCCGCTCTGTTCTGGGATGGAATAGGTTTGGGTGCTTTTCCTTCATGGGGGATTGGTGCTGCAGAGGAAAGGGAAGGTAAGTCCTTCTGGGGTTCAGCATCTGCCCTACATTCCTACTGTCCCTATAGACTATTCCCAGTGTGTGGATACTGGGGATTCCTTTCCCAGTTTGGCCTAAGCCCCATTCTCAGGTGCTGTTTCAGCAAGAGCACCTAGAAGTTAAGAATAAGGGTGCCTGTGTGGTTTATGGCTTATGTCCTGAATGTAGACAAGTGTTTGCTCTGAAGAAGATGGCCTGAAGGGTCTTCTATTAGCTCTGGGACCCTAGCTGAAGGAGGAAGAACTTGATAAAGGAGAATGGGTTGATGAAGTAGGTGAGGCTGAGGCAGCTGTTGAAAGGTTGCTCCTAATGATGGTGATAACTAAGGTGGATTTACTCTTTCTCTAGGTTGGTGGAAGAAAGGTGATGAGTTATTGCTTTAATCTAGGAGTCAACCAGGTCTCCAGGTTGCACAAATTAATGTGGCATCTCTAGTGAAGGCACTTGGGGTTCAGTGCTGAGATAACATCCCAGGAGGGAATCACCTTGTAAAGATGCAGATACCAGGGAAGAGAAAGCACAAAGCAAGGAGGAATTCAGCTGATGGGGAAAGGGCTGTGAGCTCCATGTGGTGGGTGGAGATCAAGTAGAGGAGAGTGATGGAAGGTTAAAATGAGGGAGGGCAGAGCTGGGGCAGCCTGTAAACACTGG